CTGGTCTACAGAGTGAGTTCCAGGACAGCTAGGGCTACACAGAGATAAAAAATCAAAAAAAAAAAAAACAAAAAAAAAAAACCCAACAACAACAAAAAAAACCTGTCATGGTTTGTATATGTTTGGCCTAGGGAGCAGCACTATTAGGAGGTGTGGCCTTGTTGGAGTGGGTGTGGCCTTGTTGGAGGAGGTGTGGCCTTGTTGGAGATGTGGACCTGATGGAGGTGTGGCCTTGTGGGAGGAGTGTCACTATGGGTGGGATATAAGACCCTCATCCTAGCTGCCTGGAAGTCAGTATTCTCCTAGCAGCCTTCAGATGAAGATGTAGAACTCTCAGCTCCTCCTGCACCATGCCTGCCTGGATGCTGCCATGCTCCCACCTTGATGATAATGGACTGAACCTCTGAATCTGTAAGCCAGCCCCAATTAAATGTTGTCCTTCTAAGAGTTGCCTTGGTCATGGTGTCTGTTCACAGCAGTAAAACCCTAAGACAAAACCCATATTCCATGTGTATGAGTGTTATGCCCCTGTGTATATCATATGTATATCAGTGTATACAGTGTTGTGGATGGTTGCCGGCTGCCATGTGGGTGCTGGGGATTGAACCTGAGTCTTCTGCAAGAGAAGTCAGAGCCCCTAACCACTGAGCTATCTCTCTTGCCTGCCCCATAAACTTTCTACTTTATTCCCAGCCTGGGGTATTTCCTGATAGTAACACAAAGGTCGAGACAGCCTGTCCTCCGACCCCAGAGGCACAACGGGAATACCTTGGACTGTACAAAGGCACGGAAGACGGGCACCAGCGCCTCGTCCTCCTTGTGGTCGGCATACTGGATGGCCACATTCAAGATATGGATGGGCTCCTCTCGAAGGCTCTGTAAGAGAAAAACAGGGGCTGGGGGGCAAGAGGGCGGGGCTATAGCCGGCCCCTCCCACCCAACGCTATCCATTGGGCTTACCTTGCCGTCGTCCTCCGAATACAGGGAGGTGCACGCCTTACTGAAGAGGGGAGTGTCTGTAGGGACGTTGGCAAAACAGGAGATGACTTCGTCAAAGTTCCTGTGGGGGTGGGACAGAGGAGAGCTGAGGGACCCCCGCCTCTAAAGGATGTGGCCAGTCCCAGTGGTACAGTAGCATGCTAGAACTTTGGCCTCCTGTCTAGACAAGCCCCTGAGGACCGTGGGCCAGCCTTTCCCATCACTCCCCCGAGGAGTCTGTAATTCTTAACTGTGGTGCCTGTGTCTGGCTCTCCCCAGGTGCTAATGAATTCGTGGCTGGGGTTGGAGAAGCTCACACAGCCCCTACGCCCTACCTGGTGAATTCCTCAAATCTCCTGAAGGCCACCATGGCCCCCATCCGCTGGCACAGTGGGGAGAAGCCGCTGTCCATGAAGAGTTCCGTACTGTGCCTCAGCAGGTCAGGGTTAGAGACGCTGATGGGCACGGCCATCCTGCAGGGTGAGGAGACAGGGAGGCTCAGACAGCTGCTGCTGACTGGGCCCTCGGAGCTCTTCCTGTGACGGATGCTTTGGAAAGCCAGATCGGGATAAGAGGCTTCCCTAGGTGGGGTCTGAAATGGGGTCTACAAGGGGAGATGTGTCACTCGGGGCAGGTGCTGAGGGGTCGTATCAGCAGCTGGTGAGAAGGCAAGTTTGGTCCTGGATTGCCCCAGGCCTTCAACGCCCTTCATCCCTTTCCCTGTCTTGGGATGAAGTCAGTGGCTGTTAAGGTTTAGACAGTGCCCAGGAACCAAGCCAGTCAAGTGAGGACTCTAGAAGCAGGTATGAGAGGGATGAATCCATTGAGTGTAAAACAGAAGGTGCACAGAAGCCGGAACTGCCCTGCCTTTCCTAAGGAGGGGGGCTGTTGCAAGGGTGGCCCTTGGCTGGCGTATGGGAACTTGGACTTGGGAAAGGATCCCTTTACCTAAATGAGTGTGGCTTGCTGGGCCTGTGTGGCTGTAGCCAACGGTATCGTTGATGCCAAGCTGCTACATCGATCCTCTCCTGGGAGCCTGGGAATTTTCCTTTTCAAAGTGAACAAACCAACCAACCCAGGGTCTTGTGTGTTGGCCTGGCTGGCCTTGAACTCTGCTCTTCTCCTGAGCACTGCTGTTTCTGCCTCACCAGGACCAGATTAGCACCTACATGGAGCAGTAGCCAATAAGAATCCCGGGTGCTAACCAAGCTCAGACACCTCACAAACTCACGGTGAAGATTAATCTTCCCTCCCAACTTGACCGGAGTTAGAATCACCCTGCAGAGCAGTGAAGTGCAGTTTTGGGTGTGTCTGGGAAGGCCTGGGCATGTGTGCAAGTCCTCCCTGAAATAGTACCTGACCCAATATCCCTTCGGGAAATCACAGCTCTCTTCTCTCAGCTGCTCAGACAAAACAGTCAAAAGAGAAAACAGCTCCTGTAGGACAATTTCAAAGTGCTGTATAACACACACACATGCACACACACACATTCACACACATTCACACACATTCACACACACACACACACACACAGACACTGACTGCACACGCACATACATGCACACACCCATGTGCCCAGACAACCATCCTCAAAACAGCTGAATCAATACAAGACCTGTCTCACACTAGGCAAAGTTCTGCAGACCTTTAAAAAAGAAAAAGGAAAGGTAAAAACAAAAACAAAACAAAAACAAAAAAATAGAAGTCAAGATGCAAAGAGCCGCCTCCTGGAGGCCTTCCTTTCTCATCTGTAACGCATGCTCTTCCAAAGCCAACAGGAAGAGAAACACTTGTAAAATCCTGAGAGGGGGGCCATGGAAAGGGGTAAGGGCTCTTGCCTCATAAGCCTGATCCCCAGAACCCACATAAGTAAAAGAAAATTGGCTCCAGGGACTTGTCCCTTGTCCTCTGACCTCCAGATACCTCTTACCCCCCCCCCCTCTCTCTCTCTCTCTCTCTCTCACACACATACACATATCATATACTTGCACCTGCATACATCTCTCTCACACACACCTACACACATCTCACACACATACCTACAGGCATTCACACCTTGCACACTCATCTCACACACAGCTACACGCATACACACCTGCACACTCACACCTGCATACCCGTCTCTCTCACACACACATACATACCTGCACATGTCTCTCACACAACCACGCATACATCATTTACACACCTGCACACACATCTCTCTTACACATACACACCTGCCCACCTCACACAAACACATGCACATCACACACGCACATATGCAAATACACATGAACAATATACACCACACACCTGACACACACCTGCACATCACACACATACACACACACTTGCACACATCTCACACACACATATCATACACAACACACACAAACATTCACACACATCACACATAAGTAAGACAAAAGCAGAAGAGAATCAGGAAAACACGGCCCCTGCCTCGTGTACATGAGTTCTGACCCATGGAACCCAAGTCACATGACCTCCACTCCAGCCACCAGCTAGGCCTCTGGGAAACCCAGTGAGACTCCAAGGAACCAGGGACAGTGGCAGGGAGGGAGCCTTTGGATCCCAGTGGGGAGACATTGCTACATTCTAGAAGGTTCCACACTCTGCCTGGCTTCTGAAATAAGAGACATGGAGCAGTGTGCAGTCAGACAGACGTCCCCATGAGAACACTGAGGACTCTCAGAGCACACAGACAAACCTCACCCTCGGCTCTGCTTCTGGCTTCTAGAAGCCACAGGTGTGGGGACAGAGCTCTGACTGAGACTATGATTCAGGCCCTGGTTCCTACAACATGGCCTGTGGGAGAGAGGAGATCCAGGGGCTCTCTTCTTCGAAACTGAGATGAAGGACACTTTTGGTCAGCTGATGGAAAGGCTGAGGGGATTAAGAACACAGATGTTGCGGGATATTTGATCACACTGTGAACCCCGAGATTGTGTTGTTTCCTGGAAAAACCTGTTTCTAGCTGTGGTGTGGCTCAGCCATAGCTCACACCTTTAATCGCAAACAATGAAGGTGAAGTTAGTTTGTAGAAGGAAACACCCATGTTTGAAGTGAAGTCTGACTGAGTGGCAGACAAAGTGATGAATCAGAGAGAGATCTGACAGAGTAGGATCTTCCAACTCTCAAAAGAACAGAGAAGAAAGAGACTCCTGCTGTGCAGGAGAGAGGAGACAGTTTGAACTGGCGAGTTTTAAGGAGACAGGTTGAAGAGGGAACAAGCTAGACACAGGTGAAGACAGAATGAGCCAGAGAATGAGAAGGAGCCAGAAGATCAGAACAAATCTTTGCCAAAGTTAGTTTGAGGCCAAACAGGGCAACTCAGGAGAGGCTGAGAGAAACCAAATTGAATCAGTCATCTTAGAGAGATGTTTGAGCCAGAAGAGCTGACTTGAACCAACCAGCCAGCAATCAGAAAGAGCTGGAAAAGGCAGGCTTATTCAGCGGTCAGTCTCAGAGGCTGAAAGCATCCCAGGCCTAGATAAGATTGTATGGAGGCTAGAAGCTTCCAGCACTCGGCCTAGGTAGCAGACGGAGGCGGTAAACCTCAGAGATGACAACTGCATCAGGAAAATAAAAGATACATTCATACAGAGGCTTCACACTAGCTACACTAGTTACACTAGCCTTGTGACAGGATAGTAATTGTTTATAAAAGTGCAAGCTAACTACTAACACAGCTTCATTTGTGCTGGGTACTGTCCTAGGTGTGTTGTCTTACCTCATTTAGTTTTCCCAGTGGTCTAGGACAGAATGATCCACTGCAGTGATAGAATGTTCTAGAACCCTGTGTAATATATGCAGCCAAGGCCCACACGTGATGACTCCGTACTTTAAAATCTTGTTTTTATAACTGTGTGTGTGTGTGTTTGTGTGTATGTGTGTTTGTGTGTGTGTTTGTGTGTATGTGTGTGTATGTGTGTTTGTTTGTGTATATGTGTTTGTGTTTGTGTGTGTGT